CTGAGGAAGAGGAAATTCTGCCTGTGGAATTCGGCCAAACCCGAGGGAAAAGGCAGAAATTGGACCTAACTGTCGGTCTTTAGGTGCTTAAAACACAGTTTGGGACAAAAATGCACCCACCCATAGGAATGGATGGCAATTTGGGAGTGGTCCAGGTGACCAGGACAACCCTGCTCTCCCAGCCCTCAGGCCACCCCTCCCTGGAGAGCAGGAGCAAGGCAGTGACGTTCACCCCCGGGATCTGGTGACAGAGATGGCCTGGAGATGCACACCGCCACCCCCCACCTTTACAGATTTACAGGGTGAGTGGAGGAGGTCTGGGGACCTCTATGGAAAGAGTTTGGTCTTTAAAATGACATCAGCTTAAATCATGATGAGAAATGCAAAACACAATGTATTTGGCAAGATCAGTGTGCAGTCAGGGGCGGAGCCGGCAGGGTTGTCCACGCCCTGCACACTCCAGGAAGGGCTGGCCTTCAAGCCTCGGGTTGTCCTGTCTGATAAGTGTCTTGGGCTACCTGGGCCGTGCCAGATGGTCTCTGCTAAAGCTGATTTACCTGGGGCTTCCGGCCAGGCTGTATCTGTGGGACCCCTTGAGCATCTGAGGTCGGTGGTGGGGACAGTTGGCCGTGGCCTGCCTGACCAGACGCAAACTCCTGGGTGGGCTTCCCTGGTCTGTGTACTCTCTGCGTCGTCACAGGGGGTTGCTGGGAGGCAGAAACCGTCTGTGGGACTCCACTGGGACTGGACACTGGAGCGCCCCCTGGACTCTGCCACAATGCCTCTTCCCTTGGCTGATTTTGATCTGTGTCTTTTCACCATGATCAACTGAAGCTATGCATGTAACGCTTCTCTGAGTTCTGTGAGTCCTAAGGTACCGATGTAATGCCAGATTCGTGGGACCCCAACAGACCTCCAGGAGCCGAATCCGATGCAGTTTCACACAAGAGTCTGTATTGCAAGATGGATCCTGGACTCACAACCGTTTCCAGTGCAGCGGTCCCAGGGAGTGAGTCCCGGTCCTTTGTTCAGTGAGATTTGATAGGTTTTGGGGGATTCTCTATGCGTCACAACATCACACAGCAAATCATTTCACACCTCGGGAAAGTCCAACAAGAACTCTCAACACTGATAGCACATTCACTGGCGGGAACAAGTTGGGAAGGGGTGATTGGCGAGTTCAAGAGGTGGATATATTTGAATTGATTGGTTTAGGCTCGAGGGGTGCAAGAGTGTATACACTAAACTGCAGGGTGGCCTAACCGTGTTAGCAATCACTGAAACTACTGGGAGGGTCACCCGACATTTCAGATATTTTCCCTGTCTCATGCTGATTGGTGGTTGCTAGGGGGTTGCTATGGAGCCTCACCTAGCAGTAATCGAGTCGGGGACACCGGGCACTGCAGATCCCTGTTATCATTTACAGACAAACAACTCAGCAGGGTGGGTATGTGCTTTGGAGTGCTCTTTGGGTTTTTTCCAAGGATAAGGGTCATGCCCCCCTCCCTCTGGACGGGCCTTGAGGTAGAAGCTGGTTTCTCAAAAATGGAGTCACATCAGTTTCTTACCATCACACCCGAGGATGGGAGGGACTGGGAACATCTGTGGAAGACTTGGTGACAGATATACGGACATCCCCTTGAATTAGAATAAGAAAAAGGGAGCACAGTATATTAAGGAAGATATTAAATATTGGTATGTATAAAATGAACAATGAGCCGGGCGTGGTGACGCCTGCGTATAATCCCAGTGGCTCAGGAGGCTGAGG